TATTGATCAACCCCCATGGTAAGGGGGGCAAAAAAAATCCTCCGAATCGGATCGCCCCAGGGTGCGCGCTCCCTCGCCTGGAGGCCCGACTGTAGGCCTTGCTGCTGGCGCAAAGGCCAAACAAAATGGAGAAGGAGAGGTGGAACACGGCGCTGCCCAGGCACAGCATATACGCGTTCAGCACCTGAGCTCGTTAACGACCTGTGGCCTGGAACTCAAAGGCGATCGCCTTTTGGCAGGGCGACAAAATAGGAACCCAACATGGAACTCAGTTGCCCCTCAGGGACCTGGAACTAAAAGGCTAACCGTTTATGTTGGAGACCTGAGAACCAAAAGGTCAAAAAAAATCGGTCGACTCGAAGGACTGAGCATGACTGAGCCAAACCGCGATCGCGCTGCCGCAACATGGATCCCAGGAAGAAGAGAGTTGCGTGAAGGGCCTGATCAAAGAAACTGGCTGGTCACTCCCGACAAGCCTTCCAATAAGAGGCAACTACCATGGGATACCCTGGGCAACCCTAACCCCGACTTTGCTAGCAGCCGCAAGCTAAGCCGCACGCAAAGGCAGGGCAGTCTGGAGGGATTTGTCCCTCAAAAAGCATCTCTCCTGAGTGGGCGATGCGCCGGCAAGTTTATGGACGGTCAGTGAAATGCGTGGATGCGTTTGCCTTTTCCTCTGAAATGAACCGCCTCCCTTGAAAAGGGTGTCCAGGGGGCCTGCTTATTTTTCCCACAAACAGTGGAAAAGGCAAACCATGGATGCCTTGCTGTGTTTGCACATGGTCATTTCTCTCTTGCCTTGAGGTCGCGATGCGAGCTGGGGGGGGGGGGGGGGAATTTCATGTCCAACATGCATGGCTTTCCTGATTCAGATGGCACATCTTGTTGGAGACATGGAGGGCGAATGCAGAGCGGTGTGGCTATGTCTATGTTGCTTCTTGTTTCGTTCGGTGTTGCTTCACAGCGATTCGTTCCCACACGCCTCTGTTCATACCTCTGGAAAACAGAGCAGCCTCAATTGCTTGACGCTGCCCGCGGTTTGGTACATATTCTGATACGGTTTGCTTTACCCAAACGCTGGCCTGGATGACACCCGGCTTGCCTTTCGCGGTGGAATCCATTGTACATGCCATTTTACAATGTGCGTTTTGGAAGGTAATCGTGTGGACAGACATACATACAAATATACATGTATGTACGCAACGGCAGAACTGCAGAACCCAGGTAAGCCACGCTCAATCTGCACGCATCCCCTCTAAGTACACAAATCCGCACGCATCTGGCGAATCCACAAGGTGCCACGGCTGCACAGATGTTGGGATCCGGGCGTTCTGTTCAAACAGGGCGCAGGAGAAATCTCAAGAGGTTGATCTAACGGGGCAAACCCAGGCTTTAAAATGGTCATGGGGTTAAAACAAATATTCCACCCCTAACATCGACACTTCTTGCACAGAAAAGTGCCAGCCACCGCTTGGTGTCTACGGTGCAACTATTTGATTCGTCATTGCCAAGCCATCCAACCCGTCAACTTGAGCTGACATATCAACCCTCATGTAGGGATAACACAAACACTTCGCCACTCGTCCAAATCTCGAAGGATGTAGAGCAAAAACCTGGGAAAACCAAGAGTTTAGGGGCAAACATCATGGCAGAACCAGGGATTTAGAGCAAAACCCACGGGAAAAAAACCGGGAGTTTAGGAACAAAAACATAGCAAAACCAGGGATTTAGAGCAAAAACCTGCAGAAGGATAACCTTTGGATTGTTGCTTGTTTCCACTGTTGACTGCTCACAAGATCCCACTGCAAGGTCATGCCTGCTAGGGTTCACTGTCGCACTTCCTGAGTGAATTGGCCGAAAAAAGTCTAAAGTTCTTGTTTGCCATAAAGTATGAAGTCCGGGACACTTCCTTGCCATAAGCCCACCCACGGCGGGCCCCGGGCCCCGTCCTGCCAAGGAAAGGATCAGTGTGGCCACCAGCAAGGAGTTGTTGATCCTCAAGCACGAGGCTCCGTGACTGGTGCAAACAAGCATGCCCCTATTTTGGGAACTCCTGGACAGCTTCCGATTCCCCTCTCGGCAACGTGCCCCTGGAAGAAAAAAAAGGAACCAAACAAATCACCTGTCGCTGTTTTTGGAGTTCATGGGCAGTGCCCCCGGAAGGGGGCGGGGGGACAAAAAACACAAACAAACAGCAAACCAAAGGCCAAACCGGCGCCCAAGGCGCCGGTTGATGTCTGAGTTCACCAGGTCACGGACCTCCTCCCTCTGCATGCCTTGCATTTGAATTCGCAGATTGTCCTCAGGCTCGAGGACTTTTTTGGGGGGGCCGAAATTTCGGGGCTGGGTGCGGGGCGGATCGGTGCGGATTCGATTCTGGCGACATCCGAACTGCGGACTGCGAACAGCTGGTGATAAACAAACACAACATCTGATGTGAAATGTGCGGACAGAGGATGGCTACACGGACGCAACGGGGGCGGCAAGGTCATCCCAGGCTGTTGCTACATGAGCTATATTAGGGTTTATTGATATTGCCCAGCATGCTGCTTTTGCGTTGGGGGCCAGAAAGACGTGTCCCACAAACAAACCAACAAACCGTGAACGAATAGCAGGGCTGTGGGAAATAGAATCCACTTCTATGATGCAACCAAAGACTACCCCCCCGTGCAAAGGGCAAACTCCCTTGTAGAGCAAACGTGTAAACCCCTTGGTCCCACAACCCTGACAGTGAACGTACAAAGTTGAGGCAACTCACCCTTCCAGGTCCAGCATCACCACGCAATATAGGTATGTCTCCAAAACGAAAGGGCCTAGGAAAAGAGGCGCGTACCTGAATGCCACGATGAAGCTCGCAATGCTGCATTGTTCCACACCCAAATGCCGACCCGTCGCCAACGTGCAACAAGGCTGCCTTTTGGTTGACTTTAAATGGGAACACCCTCCAAAGACAGGGAAAAAAGGAATGCCCCACTGCGTCCGGGAAATGGCTTCTCTTGTGTCTCACCCCTCCTCCTGGTACGTGTGCGCTTGCTCCACCTGCACGACAAAAAAAAGCAAGCCGCAGCCCATCGGGATGCCCGATCCCCACTAAAATAGACTAAAATGGGTGGTGCACCTACCCCAAAATGGTACCATTGGTTTGACCCACAGGCATCTAGCGTTCAGGCTCTGATGCAACGCGCGGCGCCGTGCAGCTTAAGAGTAGACTCAATCTTGGATGCACGCGGCTTCGCGGAAACTCAGTGGAGCGACGGCCTGGATGTCTGTCATCCAGGCATCCCGGTTGTAGGAGTAAACCTGGGCTCATGACTAGAGGCGCTGGCCTGGAAAAGCGTGGACCCCAAAGGGTTAGGAAGGTCCTGGATAGTTACCCCTGCCAGAACTGCGGATGGCACTAGCCACTGCATTGTAAGGGATGCTGCGCTGGCACGTGCGAACTGAACGGTCCAAAACGACCCCACCGACTCTCCCATCCCCAAGCCAAACCACCCCCCTCCAGACCCCTCCCCCTCCACCCCACCCCACCCCCACCCCCACCCCCCTCCCCACCCCCACCCCACCCCACCCCACCCCATTTTCGGATCTCGGCACTCCTGAGGCCCAGTTGTAGACCCCTGCAAAGGCGGCCCCCGCCACCAGGGTGACCGACACCATGGCGCTCGTGGACGCGCGTCCACGCGCGACTGAAGTGGGGGATCCGCGGTTTGAAGGGAACCCGAAAGCGCATCAAACAGTTTGCCCGGAATTCTTGGCGACAAATTAGGTGGAGATCTGCGGCTTTCATTCTGAGTCTGCCAAAGTTGGAGGTGCGTAGGCCGCGCAGTAGTTCAAAGCTGGTTGTGGAGACCCGTAAACGGGAAACGGACCCATTGCCTGCTACTTCTTTTTTTTTTTGGGGGGGGGGGAACTCTTTTTTTGGTATGTGTAAATATAGACATATGAGTATATATATATATATATATATTTATTTATTTAGTTAGTTTATATATAATGGCAAAATTACCCAGTCGGTCATGCCACGGTTGCATGGATTCATACATTCAGCAATTGAGTAAAGACGCGCTTGCCAAAAAAGAGAACAAAATCATGACTCCTGCGCGTCAATGCAAAATGGGCTCGGAAAAAAAGACATCCCCTTGCGCGGGCGGCGCTTCATGAATCTTTGGCCAACTGGCGAGCCAAAGGCGCAGAGCAAACAACCAGACGTGGAAGGAAGCATGGCACTGCACTCGCTTCCTGAGTGAATTGGCCAGAAAAAAATATGAACCTCTTTTCTACCACTAACATTGTCTTCCAAAACAGTTTTCAGCCCAGGAACTCAGAAAGTGAGTGGAAGAAAGCATGGCACTGTCAAAGAAACGGACCCCATGCCAAGTCTTGAAATACCTTTAGCGTTTCAGGGCTGGCAACGTGTCAGCTTCCAACGCTGTAACCGGCTCCTTCAAGTCAAGCTTTTACACGGCATTCCCTCCCTGTAAATTTGAATTGCACGAGCTGTTCGCCCCCAAAAAAAACAGATGCTACGCCACATAGTCATGGCCTTCATAACCGTCTGAGCTAACTGATGCCGCCTTTCAACATCTTGTCCAAACTGCGATTCTCCCTGCAAGTATGGAGAGCGCAAAACCCATTTGAGTAGGGGCCCTTGACAGGTTTTCAGATGGGTTGAGATCAAGTCACCTTGCCCAGGGGCCAAACTGCGACCAAAAAAACGATGAAAGCAGTGCAAAGCCTAGGGTGGAAAACATGAAAGCACGACAAGCGGCTGCGTTGTACTCGTCACTAGGGGCCGCTAACGGCGCCCACATGTAACCGTGAACAAAATGCTTACGAGTTTTCAAGAAATGAAGTCCGATAGGAATTTAGGGGGTGTAACGTGGCAACACACAAGCTATATTACTTATAATCATGCTTCAAACATGTGGCCCGCGCCTTTCCAATCCTGGCCAGCCAACCCAATGCCCACCAGCGAGTTTGTGCCCCGGCCCTCCCGGCGCCTGACGGACGCACTCGACCTCAGGAAAATCTTTGGCTGTACACCCGAACGAGTGGATTGTGCGAAAAAAAGTCACCGAAGTGTTTGTGTACTACGAAAATTGTCCAAACCCCAAAAGCTCAAAGTCCAGAAACTCAGGAAGTGAGTTGTGATCAAACCTTGCGTGATTGACAAATGTATTTCTCCCAGAGATGGTCATTCCAGGTGAACGCCTCGATTTTGAAGGACCGAACCCGCAGCAAGCACTCACTCAAAAGCTAGACCAAAGTGGATACTGGAAAATCTGGACAAACAAGATGGTTTGGATTTTGCGGTGGGCGTTAGGCTTTTGACCTTCCCCTGACCACGGAAGACTGAAACATTGCAAGGCCTGCCCCAAATGTACACACACACACGCTCACACACAAAGCACGCTCCCTCCGACACCCGAATCAAACATGTTGCCCCAAACAAGACCTCGCCAATCCTACAAAATCAACCTCGTCAATGAGTCGTGCGGAACATCAGCAGTTTGAGCCTGACGCACTCCCTCAAAACTACTCACCCAAAGCTACCATCTATCTTTCTGACCAGCAACGAGCTTCACTGCCTGCACGAACCCCGTGTTGAATCAGTTTGAGTTTGACGTGCATCACAAACAGAAAAGAAGGACCCGCATGGTGTTTACAAAGAACCTGGCAAATGACCTAGGTCCTCCAGTAGAGGTTAGAATAGGGGTACCCTTTTTTCTGGAGTCCAATTTAGTAGGGGAACCCTCCCCCAAAAAGGGGTGAGAAGGGCACTACTGGAGGGCCTACCCTCTGCGCAACATGGCTCTTGACCCGAGACCCGGGCCAGCAGGGCAAAGGCGTCCTTCCTTGAGGGCCCCTCCAGTAGGTATCGGCCCTGTGCATCCTGACGATCTCTTCCGTTTGGTTTAGACCGCCGAAAAAATCGAGAACATATGTCCAGTGAAATCGATTCCCTTTAAAAAGCGACTGAGGACAACAAGAAATATTTATTTCAGCAAATGGAAGCCGTGTGCGCCGCTTGCCAGGGGGCCAAAAGCGTGGTTTGCACAACTTCCGCGCAGAATTTGTTGCTGCACCCACAGCTACAAGCCGTTTCCAAGGATATTGGCGAAGAAGAAAAACCCTTCTGACCGCACATACGTCAAAACACGCGTGTGTCCATCCTCTCAACCAAAGGAAGCGCCTTCGTTGGGCTCCTCTCAGTTGAATCCCTCGGATTCTCTGGACTCTCTGTTCGAAGACTTTTGTTCAGTAGGAAGCCCAAGCAAGAAATGGAAGAACACTCAAGCGAACACCCCCCATCATGGAACAAACCATGGGGTTGAAAATCCACCACATGGTTCCACTGAACCGGGTTTCTTTTCTGCACGGCATTCCAACTCCCTCTTTGGGTCTTTTTCCCTTCGGCGGGCGTTTTGAAACGCCCAAAGAAGCCCTCGGCGTTTGCTGGTCCTGCTCGCCACGCTGGAGCTCCTCGCTGTTTTGAGGCTCCACCATGGCCAGCCTTGGATCGCTGCCGACTGCTGTGGGTCTGTCTGAGGAAAGGAATGGTAGCCCCAGACATGGCGCAACGGCGGTCCTTTTGGGTCCCTCTCAACCCGCGCTCCGAGGTCCCTCCAAAAAAGACACGCCCACATTTCAGGATACTGGCGAAAGGGAGCAGTGCACTTAGAGGGCCAGAGTCTTCAACAGCCACATTTGGAACCTGCCCAGCTCCCGCCTCAGGTTCATGTCAATGTGGCTGTGGGTCGCTGGACGCTGTGACTTTGCGGACTTTGGAGCATGAACTCTGACAGTCCTTTGACTAGGCTCCGAATAACAGTGACCTTTGGCGGGGAGGGAGGCTGAGAATCACCCGACCAAAAAGAAGTTTGGCCCACAGTGGAATTGAGGGGCTGTTGTTTCACTGCAGCGGAGCAGGTGGTTGAGGTGCAACATGCTTCACCAAAATGCCTTAAATGCGCGAATTATGCGTGTGTGTATGTACGTTTGGGTGTGCATATCTGTCTGGCAAGCAGCAAGTGCCTGCTCCACGTCAACTTCCTGAAACTGCTACAAAGCCATGCCGTCTCATTGCAAAAAGTTGCTGCTTTGGGAGCCGTCAGGCCCGTTTCCATCTGCAGGTGTTGGCCGTCAAATGGCCTTCCACCTGCCCCTCCCAAAAAGACTGCGTGCTGGAAAAATCTGCCCACGCCACATGGATCTTGGGCCCTTTCTTGGGCCCAGCAAAGATGGGGGGGAAAAATCGCGTAGTAAACCGACTGCCCGGCCAGGTCCTCCAGTAGAGAGGTTGGAATGAGGTTACCCTTTTGCTGTAGTCTATTTTAGTAGGGGAACCCTCCCCCAAAAAAGGTTGTGAAAGAGCACTACTGGGGGACCTAGAAACCACATGTGAATCGCTTCCCGGAGCAGCCCAGAGCCATAGCCCTCGAAGCGGCTAGGGCTCCCACAAGACCGGAGAGACCTCGCGGGCTCGACCGACCACTTCGACGCGCCCTTCCCCCCCCACCCCGCAAGGGCTGTCTGGGCAAAATGTAAGTTCGAGCGACTCCGCAAAGCGCCGGGCATGCCAAACACACACACACACACATGGAACACACACTGGAGGCCCACCGTGCTCCAATGATCTTCCAGTTTTCGAAGTCGGCAGTGAGTTTGTGGATGTTACGTGGGCGAGTAATGTTTTTGTTTTGCGGTGTCTCTTTCGTTGCTTTCTTGTTTGCTTGCCTGCTTGCTTGGTGGCTTGCTGGTTTGCATGTCTTTCCAAATTAAGTAGCGTGGAAATCATGGAAGCTCTGCACATTAAAAGGGCTGCCTCTAACACACACACACACACACACACACACACACACACACACACACACACACACACACACACACACACACACACACACACACACACACACACACACACACACACACACACACACACACACACACACACACACACACACACACACACACACGCACACGCACACGCACACGCACACGCACACGCACACGCACACGCACACGCACACGCACACGCACACGCACACGCACACGCACACGCACGCACACGCACACGCGCACACGCACGCACACGCACACGCACACGCACACGCACACGCACACGCACACGCACACGCACACGCACACGCACACGCACACGCACACGCACACGCACACGCACACGCACACGCACACGCACACGCACACGCACACGCACACGCACACGCACACGCACACACATGCGCGCACACGCACACACACACACACACACACACACACCTTCCCCCCAAAGATCCTCCAAAATCTCCGCTTCAAACGAAAACATCCTCCCGATGTTCATCGCCGGGCCTCGGCGGTGAGGGCCCTGCGGGGCACTTGCTCCGAGAAGTTGGCGCCCCGCACCGTGAAGGTGACCACTTCCTGACCCGCGGGCCCAATCTACCCGGGTTTTGATTGTGGCTCACTGAATATCAAGGTAATATGAGTATCGCACTCTCATTCACCCGTGGAAACATGGATGCACCTAAATGAAAAATAGGAATAGTGGGCTACTTGATTTCAGACATCATTACACACCTTGTCCTATATTGTTGCGGAATCCCAAAGGGGGTGTAGGCACAAGGGTTGGTAGTTGAGAGCCCTAAGGTTTCTTCGGGTTCCCTAGGCTTCCTTGCGGCTCCTTACCAAAAAACGGCCGCTGCGCAACCCAGAAACCTTGGTAAGTCACATGGCTTTCCCTCAGTCTCTTAGCAGCACCTTAAAAGGATCAACCTCTAGGCAGGTCAAGACTCCGAAAACAATAAACACATGTTCAGGATGTTTGCTATTTGGTTGCCGCATTTGACTTGGCTTGTCAATGCTGAAACCTTGGCAAAAGAGGTTTGAAGACCTACTGCCAGTTCATGATGTCACTCAGGTTCAAAGGAAACCTCTCTGTGGCTTCGCGTGTAGCAAAGTTGGGCCGTGAGAGCTACAAAGGGCTATCTTCAGCAGCAAAGCACGCTGTCTTTTCCCCAGCCATTTCTGGGTGTTTGTGCCAAGTTGCGTCTGAAAGCTGGCCCTTCTTGGGCTGGGTATGGTATTGGAGAACCCGCATCCATGCGGAACTGGGCTTGGCTTGCTACTCGCTTAGTGCTGGCTCAGTATAAGCTTGGTACGTGCTTCGCCTTGAGTCTGCCTTCTGCTTTCGGCTAGCCGCCAAGTGACGACCAAAGAAAGCACCATCAGCCCACAAACCAAAGACTCGCATACCGAGTGGATGCTCCAACTATCCACAACTTTTTGTTGGCCACTAAAATTAAGTCCAAACCACCAAAAAAGTGGATATATCTTCAATCACGGACAAAACCTGTTTCCCCAGACGCCTGGCTTCCGCGCTCTTTGGGCGACGCCAAAGCCTGGCTACCTGAGACCGTGCGATCGATGGCCGCCGCTGCGAGCGATCGAGGGCCATCGGTTCACAGTTTCAGTAGGCTTTCTGAAGGGCAGGTCCTGAAAGAGGGGTTTTGAGGTGCAATCTTGGAGGATGTTTTGGAGTACTACTTTATGTTTCATGTGCTTGTTTCTTGTATTTTCCTGTTTTTTGTGTTTTCTTCGGGGGAGGGGGGGGGTTCCTTGATAAAGTGCAATAATGCCCCCGAAGCCAAAAAACATATTTCCCAAATTGCGGCTGAGAATGGCTTAACCGCCGCCCCACAGTCGAGCCAAGGCAAAACTGTCCCTCAGCCAGATCTGCCTACCAGAAACACAATGACTGTCCACCTGGACTTGCCCGACTTCTTCCAGAACTAAGACCAAAGCTTTCGCACGACTGCACTCCCGGCTTCCAAATTGAACGTGGTTGCAGGATTCAGGACTTTCAGATACTGCGTTGCACAAACAGCGAAATCGAACATCTGGGAAATTGGTTGAGAAACTAGCTCCCCCGAAGCAGAGTCACTGCCCACTCCAACATTTCCAGTCCTATCTGGCCACCATTGGCATTTGAGCCGGGACCATTTCAAGAACATGATGGTTCGCCAATTACGCTGAATGATCCAAATATGCCGGAACGGACACATACGAGAGCCTTGTCAACAAGGGCCACAACTAAGCACAGGTGCATCCGAACCGCTCTATGCCCCTTTGTTTTTTTAAAGCCCCTCACTTGCCCAAAGGACCTGAAAATCAAGGCTAACCCTTTGGGGCCCTGACTAAAAATGGACCAAAACCGGGAAACCAAAAGGTCAAATGGCCGGCCTTGGGCAACTAAGGTGCTTGTTTCCAAAAAGATAGAGAGGTGAAGCGGCAATCCTGCGACATGTCTACGCACCTTCAACTGATCTGAGCGAGCGCCAGCCGATGACCAAAACATGACTCTGAGCTGTGGTGGGCTGACAAATGAACCCCCTAAATAACATGGTCATGGCTTGATAGAAACGTTGACAAACGGGAGAGGTTGGCCACTTGAAGCAGCCCAAGATCCAGCTGCGCAGCTTCGCGATCGTATTTCTCTTTTACGGCACGAGCTATTGCTGCAGGCGCCCTTCTACCGGACCACAAGCAGTACTCTCTGAGGCGTTCTGGCAGCTTCTCAGGCGTCGGCCAGTCCCAACATCCTCAAACAGCCCCCTCTTTGAGAGGGTTTTTACAAGACAGTACTAGAGGCCGGCTTTACAACTGTAGGATCTCTCAGAACTGCTGCGCTTTCCCAAGGCTTCAAACCCATGTGGCGGCAAAAAGCATTCACGCAACGTAATGTGACGTTACGTAAAGTACCGTGGCGTAAAGCAACGTAATGTAGTGTATGCATGCATGCATGTGCATGCATCCATACATGCAAGTATGTATCCATAGTAATGCCGGAGCGGCTGCCGCTAAACTGCATGTCCTTACCTCCAAAGAGCACTCGATCGGATGCATCCCACGCGCTTTGCGCAGTGGCAAGAGAGATCAGCGCAGTGGCACCGCTTCTCCTAGGTCCTCCAGTAGAGAGGTTAGAATAAGGGTACCAACTTTTGTCCTGTACTCTATTTTAGTAGGGGAACCCTCCCAACCAAAAAGGGGTGAGAAGGGCACCTAGCTGGGGGACCTAGTCTCTGAGTGCCTAGCACTGGCTGAGTTCAAAGTTCCCCCGGGCCATGGCTGCCTCTCGCAGGTGGAGAGCTTCGACCGGAGAGGCTGAAACCGATCGCTTTCCCGATCGGCGAAGCCGCATTTGAATGCGTACGGCTCAAAACGGAAAAACCGCCGGGGTTGTAAGCCCGGTCGGTTTTCTTCTTTTTGCCGTACTGCCTCTAGGTGCCAAATTTTGGAAGTGCCGTAATTTTGAGCCACGGCCGCTTGGGAGTCTGGATTTTGGGCACACGTGACATCGGTCGGGTGACCGGCACTTGACTGCGCCCTTGTTCCTTGCAATTTCAAGTGCTCACAAAGTGCAAGCAACACAAATGCTACCGAAACGGTATGCGTGGACACCTAGCCATGCAGCCTTCGCTGCGGCTGGCCGGTGCATCCTAGGACACGCG